CGCATGTACCACGGGCAGCACCAGGCTTCGTAGAGTCGGTTGGGTAAGTAGAGTCGAGCCAAAGCATGTTAACTTCGTGGTCGTCCCAGATGGACAACACCAAGACCATACCCTTGGTCATAGCCTTGTCCATAGGAGTGTATCCACCCTTGGCGAGCCAGTCATTGCGGTCACCAAAGGCAGTCTTTTGAGCAGCACAGAATTCGGCGGTGATGGAATCGAAGGCATCCATGCCGGAGATGTTGGTCTTGGAGTTTTGGATGACCTTTCCGTTTTGGACGTAGAGACGACGGATTTCTTTGAGAGCTCCGTTAGCAGTGCCGTCGCTGGTGATGAACTGAGTGACGATAGTGAACTTGGATTTGGTGTCTACGGTCTTGCCTTCACCATAGAAGGAAGTGTCACCCATACGGTACGAGTTGAAGTCGCATCCGTCCTTGTCGCAAACACCACCATAGCGGTTATCGCCATCACCACACTCGGTTCCAGAACACCTGTATGGGCCGGCAACAGTGCAACCGTGTGGGGTATAGGCAGCCGCGATCTTGTTGGCTTCCCAGATATCCATTTCAGAGCAGCAAGAGCCGTATTTACCCTTGCCAGCGTTCTTGTCGTTGGCAGAAGGCTCCCACCCTTCGACATTAGCCTGAGGGGAAAATTGTCAGAAAGTGATTATCCGAAGAAAATGAAGGATGCGAGATAATAGAAGGGTGATGTCTCTAGTCAATCAACACTTACTTGTCCGTTGATGAACTTGATGTCATGAGGGCATTGAGCATCGCAATAACCGGTTCCGTACTTGGCACCGGCCTTGTTGGTCGAGTATTTTGACATGCCACCGTCGGCGTCCATCTCGGAGAAGTAAACAGCGCCGTTGAGGCCACATCCGAGCTTGGAAACATCGACGTCGAAGGTGAACTCTTGGTTTTTGAGCTTGAACATTTGGTAGGCGGTGTCACTCGCGAGCAAGTAGACACGAGAACCGATGTTCGAACCGGTCTTGAACTTGAGGGTAAGAGCGTTACCAGAGGTGGTGATACCATAAGTGCCAGAATAGTCAGCACCATCTAAGGCGCAGTTCTTGGCGCAAGTAGCATTATCTGGACAAAGAGAGCTGTCCCAGGTGTTGCCGGTATAGCAGTTGGTATAGCCACTGGTGGTGTGGAGCCAGCGCCCGAAAAAGTCCTGCTTGTCTCTCTGGAAGCGGGTTCAGCTCACGAGTGACACGCTCCAGCACCCTGAAGACGGCATCAGTAGTCAGTAATGATAATGTGAATCAGATTCATAGTAAAACTGACTCGCAGTATTTAGATACCAGGTCGTGGAGGGCCGCACTTGCTGGCTTGCCATCTACAGCTTCCTGGACGGATTGCATTCGCTTCTGGAGGATTTCTGCTAAGAACTTCCAATCCTCCTTATTCCTTCTCACTTTCTGTTCTGAGTTTAGTGTCTCGTAAAGCGACTGTGAATACAAGCCATTTACCTTCATATTCTCCAAGAGAATGATCACGCTCCCCATTGTCGCTTTGAGTGGATTTAGGACTGGGAGGCTTTCATTTGCGTCCTTGGTGACCTTTGCAATGAGGAGTGCCCCATCAATCACTTCATCCAGATGCCGTTTCTTGTCTTTTCCTCGTGTGGACATGTTTCATGGATCAAAGTGCCAATGTACAGTATAGAGTCCAAATCTGGGAAAATTATGGGTAAAGGTAGGGATGTGGTTGAGAGATAAGTTCAGCGCTATGCCAAACACCCGATCAGATCTGGCCGTCGACCAATCGCCCCGGCCCCTAATGCACTACTTGTTACAAGGGCCTATGCGACTATGAGCGCTCTCAAACCCACACTAATAAACCAGGAGTCTATAACACCATCGAATCTGATCTTCTTGATCGATTTACAATTAGGTGAATTCAATGAGACCGAATCGTCCATTCATTCTTAACCCGGCCTATGTGAATTCTCGATATCTATAGAGGTGTACACAGTACGATGAATGCATTGCTTACTCAGAACTGGGGTAGATGTCAAATTATACCGTGGTCACTTCGGACAAACATCACCAGCAGGTACTTGGCTGGTCGGTCGGTCGATCAACCTGCTCGACTCATTGCCAATAGCCTTCGCTCATAAATTGCCTTGAACTGGTGTCTTCGAATAAAATATTATATTATCGCAATTTTATTTGGGTTTATTCTTTGAACTCGTTGCTGACTTAGCGATCTTTGCAATCCTGCGCTGGACATTTCGATGGTTGACAGCATTCGAGACCTCTCAATGGCTCATATAAGGCTAATAATGCGAGGGAAAAGATAGATAGATTCCGCAGAATACAAATAACACCTGGAGTTTCGAGTGTTTTCTACAACAGTTGATTCGACAAGACGAGCAACCAGGGTATACCTCCCAACTAGTCGCTTACTTGCTGTAGGTGGTATTGAGGTCACCGACCTTGATGTTGGAGTAGATGACTGAAGCGCTCGCTTGCTGCGATTCGACGTCATCGGGCTTGCCAGAGGAGGTATCGCATGTACCACGGGCAGCACCAGGCTTCGTAGAGTCGGTTGGGTAAGTAGAGTCGAGCCAAAGCATGTTAACTTCG